TAGGGGCGAGCCCCCTCCCCTCCTGCCTTTTGACCCAAACTCTGCTGCGCCAGGAACCCTGCACTGTGCTCAGCCCCACGGAGAGGGGCCCTGCTCCCCTCTTCCCGGAGCAGCCGGAGCTAGGAGCTACCTACCTGCAGGCACCAGCTATGGCGGAACTGCAGCCCTCCCCTCCCCTCCGTCGGGGTCTCCAGGCTCCAGCTCCAGGACATTTCCATCTGAATAGCCAGAGGCCTACGCAGGCACGGCGGGGCTGGCGGATGCAAAGCCTGGAGCTGGAGCACTGGCGAGACACACCAGCATGCAGCGCCCGCCAGGCCGGAGCAGCCCTGGCCGCTGCCCGTGTCCTCTCGCCACAGATGAGTCCATGGCAGAGCTGGAAAAGCGGGCGATGGGGCCGAGCGAGGCGGGCACGAGCACCGACACACACACGGACATGTGCACGCGAGGCAGGGCAACGCAGAGGCGCAGGGCAGGCCAGGCGCACCCCATGCAGACGGACACGCTGCCGTGGGACACGAAGGAGCCCAGGTCCCAGCACACGTGTCATGGTCTCGCTGCCGGGCTGCGAGGAGGACAGCGCGACACAGGGCGAGAGGCTGCTCCCGCCGTGCAGCCTGGGGCCTGCAGAGAGCTCGCCAGCCACCTGTTCCCTATCCTCAGCTTGGGCAGCCAATTTTCCTCCTGGTTTTCCGTCCCACCTGTGGCTCCCAGAACAGCCCAGCCCCCTCTGATTTTCATTCAGGTTTACAGATATTTTACCCCTGCAGATTCCAGGGCCTCAGCAACTCTCCACCGCACCTGCCTGCTTTTAGAAGGAGCTGCATGTCCTTCGGGGCCCTCTCCCTCCCTGCTCAGCCCCATGGCCTTGGTCCCCTCCGGCTACTTGGAGGCAGGCTGGCACACAGGCCTGGATGCCGGTGCAAGGCCTCCCACGTTCATCGTGGCTTCCTGCACTCATGGCGGCCTCCCGCGCTCATGGTGGCCTCATCGCTGCTCTGTGGAAGTGCTGCTGGGCCCAGGAGCCCCTTGCTGCCGCATCCCACCTCAGGCTCCCATATTTGTACCAGGGCTGTGGCGGGACAGGCACTTCCTGCTCGCCACTCGCCCAGTCCAGCCCCAGGCATCGCGCTCGCTTGGGGTGAAGGGAGACGCTTTGCCTCTGGCTCCGGGAACACGCACGGGCCCTCGGCCATCCTGGGCAGGTGTCAAAGGCAACGCCGGCTCCTGCCCCGGGCCCTCCACTCTTTGGTCCACGACACCCTGAAACGGGGCCTGGGCAGAGGCAAAGGGGCCAGCTCAGAGGAGCAGGATTCAGCAGCACCACTAGCATTACATTTAGTGAGCAACTACTGTGTGTCGGAAAAGCAAACTTCACCAAGTCCTAGTGGCAAGTGGCCATTAAAACATCCCTCGCAGGGTCATTCTATATAAGGGAAAAGGGTCCTGCTTTCCACTTACTCAATCGCTACCTTGACTCCCCACCAGGGAAGTCGCCACACCACAAATTTTATCAGTGCAAATGCAAGACAGATTTTGTGAGGAGATCCTGGGAGCAGATGTTGGTTTTAATATTTACCGTGTGCATTTCCACAGCATCTGCAAGGCCTTAATCATGGACCAGGCCCAACTGTGCAAGGTCCTCTGCAAACACACAAGGATATCCCACCGGTGGCATCGTGCTTGAAGTCTGGAGAGGTGGCAAGGCAGATCCAGACGTACAGAGAGGGAAAAGACATGCTAAGCTAATATGGCCAGCAGGTCTCTGCAGCAGGTAGCTTATAAAAAGTTAAGAGACAGAAATAACAAACAGAATTATTTTAAAGAAGGACCTCTTTTTTGAAAGGAATGGGATTTTTTTTTGCAGGAAAGCAAACTCAAGCAGGAGGGCAACATGGAAGAAACACAAAGGTGTTAATCTGAAATGTAAACGAGTGCATGAAAACCATGCAAGGGTGGGTGGGCGAGCTGATAGTGCAGTATTGAGTGAGACTGAGAAGAAAATGGAGTAGTCAGTGAAAAACCTGGAAAACAAAGCCCTGTGTTCAACAGCAGCCAGGAATGAACTAAGCAGTGGCACTAGTGAAGACCAGTGGGAAAGGTGAAACTTGCCATGGCCAAAGAGCATTTAGCCCTAATCCACATGCACCGTGACAGCCACCCAGACAACAGTTTGTACAGGACACCTGTACTGGGTATCTCAGAGGTTGCTACATGATCCTGCTGTGCTCTCAGATTTATCCCTAGCTGTCTATCTGGTGGCTGCAGGATTAGGTGTAAGCACAAGGAAGCCCTTGTTCAGGCTACCCAGGCCCTTGGATCTTTGCTGACCCTTCTGAGCTGGAGGGTCATCCCGAGCCCTTTGGAAGCAGCACACTGCATGGGGGCTGGCGCAGGGCGTGCTGTGTCCACGAGCCCGCCTGGGAGTCCCAGCTCCACATCCCCACACAACAAGCAAGGATGCGTCTCCCACAGCCTCCCAAAACGGAGCCAAGGGTTCCCAATGCCATCAGACAACACAGTAGCCCCCTGCACTCTGCCAAGCAAATCTGGCGCACAAAATAACCGAGGTTAGACCCACACATTGCCCTGTGGCGATGCTCAGAGGGACATTCACGAGATTGAACTTCCCATTTCCAGTTCCACTACGCCTTTGCTCCAAGTCTGAGATCTCTCTCCCTCTAGTCCTATCAGTGGCCACCACTGAAAAGACATCATCCCCGTCCTCTGCACTCCCTCCCTTGCGGTATTTATATACACTGATTAGATCCCCTCTCAGTCTTCTCTTCTCCAGGCTGAACAGGCCCAGCTCCCTCAGCCTCTCCTCATAGGGCAGATGTTCCAGGCCCCTGATCATCCTTGTAGCCCTGCGCTGGACTCTCTCCAGCAGCTCCACATCCCTCTTGTACTGTGGAGCCCAGAACTGGACACAGTACTCCAGATAGAGCTCATCCTGAGCTCTTTGGAAGCAGCACACTGCATGCGGGCTGGCGCAGGGCGTGCTGTGTCCACGAGCCCGCCTGGGAGTCCCAGCTCCACATCCCCACACAACAAGCAAGGATGTGTCTCCCACAGCCTCCCAAAACGGAGTCAAGGGTTCCCAATGCCATCAGCCAACACAGTAGCCCCCTGCATTCCACCAAGCAAATCTGGCGCACAAAATAACCGAGGTTAGACCCACACATCACCCTGTGGCGATGCTCAGAGGGACATTCGCGAGATTGAACTTCCCATTTCCAGTTCCACTACGCCTTTGCTCCAAGTCATCCCCTTGGGAGGCACTAAACATATACGTTAATGGCTGGAAGTGTCTCCGTTAGTCGGCAGGAATGTAACTGGCATTTCTAATGAAGCCACTAAATTCCAATCCAGTGACAAATTCTTGTTTACGCGAGATACAGATGCCAAAAGTGCATTCACAAGTATTTCTGCAAAAACAACATTCTAAATCACAATATTTAGATATTAAAATTTTGTTCTTTTTGCATGAGATTGCATGAGCTTTGCAATCTGTGTTGCTAAATTAAAATTTCTAACAACACTTTTTTTCTGTATCTCCCTCAGAGTTTATATGGTAATTCCTTAGCTTGCTGGTTTGGCTTTAGAGTCTGAGACAGCTCCCCAGCAGCTCTTGCTTTTGAGCTTTGCTAGTTGGCACACTGAGGCCAGGGAGATTTAGCAGCGCCTGGTAATCACCCCTTGAATGCGGGTAGCAAGGTGTCAGTGTGGAGCGTTCTCTCCATCTCCACTCTTCCTGGGGCGGCTGCGATTTTAACACTGCAATCCTGTGGCTTGTCTCAAAACCACTATTTTCACCAATTTCCTTCCCATCAATGAAAATTTCTTGGTTTATTACCTGATTTCCTAGTGTGAGCACACACACAGTCAGAGGTTTTCTCCCTGCTCCATTCCCGAATGATCTAGGAGGAATTAAGCCAAGAGGGGCAGATCCAGCAGGCCTCACGTCCGTTGCGCCCGGGCCTGGCAGCTCTCTGGTGGGGCCGCGTCACCTCCTCGTTCCCCGGTCGCTGCTGGGCTCCCGCTCTGCCCTCGCAGGGCGGCCGGCACCCCGC